CAGAATGCCAGAAAGCCTCGCACCAGCCTGCTGCTGTTGTTATTACTACGATTACCCTCGTCTCGATGTACAGGGAGCCAGATGCACGCTAGACAAGGTCCCAGGCTGCCCTCCCCTGGAGCATGAAGCCCAGCCGGGGAGGTACAGCTGGCAGCGCTGGAGAGCAATGAGCTCGAATCACCACACCCCTCCTCCCCATTCCTAGTAGGTGGAACACGCATGCACAGATGCAGCCCCCAGAAAACGGGAAACTGTCACCTCAGGCTTTGATCCCCTTTTCTTTGCCATCCCTGTCCCCCTGCACATCCCAGCCCCATTACCAACAGAGTTAAGGGAGCCAACCTGGGATGGAACAAACAGTCAGGTTCCTTCCAGACACCTGCCTCAGAGGAGGTATGAGGAGCAAAGGTAAGTGCAGAGGCTGGAGAGATGAGTCTGGGGGAGTGGGGATTAGGGACCCCTGCTTCTCTCGCAGGCATCGAGGTTCCCTTCCCAGTGGCTCACAACTGCCTGCAACTCCAGTCCCAAGAATCCAATACCCTCTTCTGTGGGCACCAGGCACAGATGTGGCACAGGATATACGTGCAGGCAAAACAGTCATACAGATAAAATAAATCAAATGCATCTTTTAAAAAATTGTAAGACACCTCCGAGCTTGTTTTCAAGCCCAGGGTTGAGATGTCAAGTAAGACCCTAGCTCTTTTTAAATTTAACTTTTACTTAGCACATGGTATTTTCATCCATGCCTAGCGTTAGTCGTTCCTCCCCACCCCAGTTTGTTCCTCGTGACCCCCCCCCCCCATCTTATAAATGAACTTGCAGGGATGAAGATACTCCAAGGAGACACTTGTGTGTCTTCCTTTGGCCATCAGATTTTGGCTATCAGCAGTCTCATACTGGATAAGGAGAAAGTTGAAGCCAGTCAGAGGTGTCCCCTGGAAAGATGTCATGCAGTTCTGACAACCTGTCAGACCACCCACAGGACAAGTTGGAGTTGGGAACCAACAGGGCAGTGATGGGCTGGACCACACGGTGACCAGCGCTGTTTAGCTACACACACTCTTGCCCTCTATAAGCCTAAACCTCCTGTCAGGACCCTGACAATGAGCTTGAGGGGTCACTGCACTTCCCTGTTCCTCTTCCCAGCAGGACCACATCAACCAAACCCCTCTCTCTGCTTTCGTTATCATCTGTCTCTCTAACTGCCCTACTGAGGACCGATGCTCAGCTGCCAAGGCCCACACCCTGACCCTAACAATTCCAGTAAGATTCTCCCCGCCCCTGCCCCCTTCCACTCCCACCCCCTCCTTCCATTTCCATCCCGTTAAGTTTGGGTGAGGGGCTGACAGGGTCCTGCCAGTCCACAGCAGTCTCAGACTGCACTGAAGGAAATAGCATGCCCCCAACCAAGATCCCTTGAATCTGCAGTCCCCTAACGAACTCCCCAGTGCCTGATTCCTGGAGAATGGCAGGTGTCATAAATCTTATTTCCCCAAAGGAAGTCTACAGGGCTAAGTTATCAGACTCCAGGATATTGGAGAGCCAAAGGTGCCACATGCTACCCGATAACACCCATGAATGACATAAACTCCTGCCCCTTGCATTCCTGGGCTCACCCATTCCTTCCTGGAATGCAGGACCCCCTCCCTCCCGCTGCCACCCAGGAATTAGCTTCTGCCTGGCTGTGGGTCTGTGCTGTAGATTGTGTGATACTCCTCGCCTTCGTCTGAGACCCACAGAAGGGTACGCATGCTGCCACATGGGCTCAGACTCTCTCCAAGCCCCTGCCATGCTGCCGTCTGTCTAGGTCTAAAGGATCTACGACCCTAAGGGACAATCGCCTTCCCTATGTCACCTAGACTTTATCGCCCTCTCCACACCCGTTCCTGAAAGTCTTGTTTGCCCTCTCATGGGCCCCTTTCCAGTGTCCTGACCTCTGCCCACTCACTCCCACATAAATATGCATATCTGAAAATTAGAAGTTGGAATCCACGTATAAGAGAGAACACGTGGGTTTCGTCTTTCCGGAGCATCATGTGATGTAATGTCTTCCAGTTCTTTCCATTTCCCTACACATCTTAAATTTTCATTTTTCTTTACAGCCAAATAAAACCCCACTGTCTATGTGCCACTCCTCAGCTGGGGGACCCTCAGGCTTAGTCCTTCCTTGCCCCAGCTTCTGTCAACAGCGGCCATGGTCACGGCCGTGCAAGTATCTCTGTGGGAGGAGGCGGTCTCCGGGTTGATGCCTAGAAGTGACATAGCGAGGTTACTTGGGCTTCTATATTTAGTGTCTTGAGAAGCCTCCACGCTGATTTCCACATCAGCTGTTCCATTTTGCGCTTCCTCCAGCAGCGAACGCAGGCTCTGTTTTCTCCACAACCTCATCAGCGTCGGTCGCCATCTGTCCGCAATGAGCCTGGTATTTTACATGGCTTCTGTGTTTCTGTGTCCTGTAAACTTCCTGGCCATCGTCCTGGTGCTTTCGGCTACTGGCCACCAATGGACGGTAGGGGAAAGTCTGTTTCTTAGAGGTGAGGTCTCCCTTGGGTTCCCCTGCTCTAGTTGGTGACCTCATACCTATGTGTATATAGGCAGAAGTTACTGGATTTAGTGAATTATTTAAAAAGGACATGAAGAAGACATTGGAAGGGGCCCAGGAGGAGCTGGAGGGAACAAGACAAGGGTAGATATGATCAAAATGCATTGCATACACTATGAAAGTCTCAAAGTGTGATATATATATATATATATATTCGAGACAGGGTTTCTCTGTAGCTTTGGAGCCTGTCCTGGAACTAGCTCTTGTAGACCAGGCTGGCCACGAACTCACAGAGATCTGTCTGCCTCTGCCTCTGCCTCTGCCTCCTGAGTGCTGGGATTAAAGCCACCGGGCTCAAAGAATATCTTTTAAAGCACTAGATGCCCATCAGGCCTTGGTCAGCCTTTGCCAGCAGAGGTCCCCTGAGTAGCAGTCTCAGGGTGCCCCTGTTCTTAAGGAGTTCCCATGTAAGACCTGACCTGGTTCATCCATGGAAGGACCCTCTCCTTGGTCACCCTTGCTTGATGCCAGGAAGCACCTTGAGTCTGCAGCTGGCTTCCATCGATGCTGTCTAGTTTGTGGGTGGTAACAGCTGCCATGTTGTTCTAACCATGTGTGGTGATGAACCCCAGAACTCATGAGGTGGAAAGGGGAGGATTGCCTCAAGTTTGAGGCTAGCTGAGACTAAAAAGTCCCCCCAAATAGTGCCATTTATCAGTCCCCAAGTCAGCCAGGAATCCCAGGATGAGGATCCCCCCAGGAGCACAGTGACCCAGAAGAGTCCTGAGCCCCGATAGACACCCCTGTCTGTGCACAGGCACCTCTTTCCCACGTGTGTAAGTGTGTTTTCCCTGCGTCTCCAGAATGAGATTTAAACCCCTGAAGAGCAACAGGTAGATTAGACCATGGAGGAGGCAGAAACAGGAGGGTTCCAAGTTCAAGGCTAGCCTGAGCTACACAGGGAACTAGAAGCCAGCCTGAGGTACACAGTGAGACCCTGTCTCATAAATAAACAAACAAATAATTAATAACCTAGTAGATGTGCATGTATGTGTTTCACAAGCTCTCCACAAGGTAAAACACGGGAAAGACCCACGTTGTGATAGCTGAGACCCAAGTTTGAGAAAGCAGGAATGGTAGTCTGTTTTTCTCTCCTACTAACAAATTATCCATCTTTTTAATTATTAACGTTCTTAAATTTCCTTTCCCTATCTGTAAAACAGACAGCATAATAGATGCAACCCACAAGGTGACGACACTCTGCCCAGCACCAGGCATTGCTGATGGCTGAGCCAGCAACAACAGCAACACAAGCTCATTCATCCCTATGGCCCTGATAAAAACTCACTCATCCCTATGGCCCTGATAAAAACTCACTCATCCCTATGGCCCTGATAAAAACTGCCCTCTTGGTTTGTGTGTTCCTTTGTTTGTATTTGATTTTTGTTTTGTTTTGTTTTTCGTTGATTTTGGTTTTTTGGTTTAGGAGTTTTTTATTTGTTTGTTTTTTGGGTTTGTTTTGTTTTTTGTTTTTTTTTTGTTGTTGTTGTTGTTTTTTCGAGACAGGGTTTCTCTGTAGTTTTGGAGCCTGTCCTGGAACTAGCTCTTGTAGACCAGGCTGGCCTCGAACTCACAGAGATCCGCCTGCCTCTGCCTCCCAAGTGCTGGGATTAAAGGCGTGCGCCACCACCACCCGGCTTGTTTGTTTTTGGTTGTGTGTGTGTGTGTGTGTGTGTGTGTGTGTGAGAGAGAGAGAGAGAGAGAGAGAGAGAGAGAGAGAGATCTTCCTCAATCACATTTATCTCATTTTTATAATATAGGATCACTGAACCTAGAGCTCACCAATTCAGCTAAACTGGCTGACCAGCAAGCCTTAGGGATCCTCCTGAGTCTGCACCCCCAGAAATGGGGTTACACTACACCCAGATTTCTATGTGGGTTCTGGGGATCCAAGATAAGGTCCTTACGCTTGGGCGGTAAATACTTTTGTAACTGAACGTCTCCCCAGCCCAGGTAATACTCTTCCATTGCCATGCCCTGCCCCCCAGGTCACAACTCTTCCAATGTCACACCCTATCTCTTAAAAGTGGAATCTGTCTCTTTCCAGATAATTGTCCTCAGCAAAAGCCAATGTCAAAAATCTCTCTTCAATTGACCCCAAAGGTGGGAGGGAGGGGGAAGGAAAACCAAGCCAGCCCCTTGGAATGATGGAAACTGCCTATTGGAGAGGGGGCAGTGCTGGCAGCTGGGGATTGGGTGGACTGGGTGCTAAATAGCTCCCGGTGCTCAGAACTGAGTCCCTCCACACACAAACCACAGTGAAGAATCTTATATCAAAACACCTCCAGCACTCGCACTAAGCAAACAGGATGTCTGAGAAGCGCCTGTGGGCAATGAACAACATTGTCTCAATGAACGGGCGAAAGACTTGGAAAACCGGCTAGAAAGTCACCAGTACCTCCTGAGGGCTTCAGGCGGCTCCACGCGGAGAGGAGCCTGGGCGGCAGAGGTCAGCGTCTCTCCCAAGGCCTTGCTGATTTCCTGCAGCTGGCCTGGAGAGAGCTGGGCCACCAGTGGCATCAAGTCACAGCCCTGCCACTGGAGCAGCGTCTCCTGCTCCTCCAGCTCTCGGCTCAGCTGTTGCTCTTTCACTTCCAGCGCAGACATCCTTGACTGGAGAGCTTCCATTTCCTTCTGCAGAGAATGGGGGAACAGATTTCATCCATTAACCCTGCTCTGCCGATAATGACTTGGTTAACTGAGAACAGGCCATATGCACCACGGTCGCAAAGCACCCCCACCCCTTTTCAAGGCAGGCAAATTCCAGAAGTTTGCTGAACTGGAAAAATCGTGCCAGCTTTATGTTTCTGGTGAGCTGGCAGGAGGAAAAACATCCCCTTCTTCCCAAGCTTTAAATACAGACAGGTGCTAGCCAAGGTTTTGACCTGAGAGAACCCAGCAAATGATAGATCCCTGGATGTGCTTCTTGGTGGACAAATGAAGGCTCTAGCCGCTCATACCAAACTCTGCGACACAAGCTCCCCAGGAGGGGAAAGGCAGCCTGCTCCGAACACAAGAACTTAGAATGCACAGAAAAATAGGATCTTTTGCATGTGTGGTCAACAGGACTGAGAGGGCAAGATGCTGCCAAGACACAGAGTCTGGTGTCCTTCAGAACGCTGGCCAGTTTACTTCCCAGGATTGTGAGATGTCAAGTGTCTGCCATGCAGGCATGAAGATCTGGTTCTGACATCCAGAACCCATGCAAAAGCTGGGGACCCACAGAATGAATCTGCAACCCCAACATGGGGTAGGGGGAGGCAGAAGACAGGAGGGTGTCAGGGACTTGCTAGCCAGCTAGTCTAGCCCAATCAGTGAAGTCTAGATTCAATGAGAAACCCTGTGTCTAAAAACAAGGTCAAGGGAGATTGGAGTAGATATCAAATATCAACCTCTGTCCTTCACATACGTGTGCACACACATGCACCTGTGCCCACATTCAAACACACACGTGCATATTTCACACACACACAATCACACACACACACACACACACACACAATTTGCCCTAATTTATTAAGCTGGAATCTAAATTAATCCAGAACCATCATCTGTCTCCAGGCCAAGGAATAAACAAGCAGCGGGTAATTGAACACAGTGTGAGCTCAGGGCTGGGCAGATAGCCATCTCGCTGCTGCGTAGGAGTCCGAACGTAACCGAATGTAATGCCAGACTCTGCTAATGGACACGCCCCCTGTTCCTTCGCTGTTCCTAGCTGATAAGAGCACAGCCTGATATCTCCCTATCTCCTGAATGTTCCCTCCACCCACAGCGCAGATTCTCCACAGCTTCTAACTCCTGCACCCACCCAGAAAAGACACAGAGAGATGCACTAACCCTCCCCGAGCTCAGCAAAGGCTCTCAACCGACCACTCTGCATCCCCCTCTGGCTCCCACCCTCTTCGTTGCTCTCATTTTTGTTTGCTTTTGGCTTCTGTTTCTTAGAGACAACATCTCACCCCGTCGCTAGCCCAGACTCATCTTTTAACCCAAGCTTGAACGTACAGTGACACTTTCACCTCAGCCTCCCTATTCTGAGAAGACAGGCTCAAGTTTTTATAAACTGTAGTAAAAAGGGACCTAACAAAAGACATAGCTTCTCTACCATTCTGCATGCACAGTTCAGTAAGATTAGGCACACACACACCATGCAAACGTCCCCACCATCCAGCCACAACACTGTCTCCATTAAACACTAACTCTCCATTCCCCCGCCACTCCCACCCCATCCCCACCCCTACTCCCACCAGTCTACTTTCCTACTGGAGTGTTTCTTCCAAGTACAATCTTACAGGACCTGTGCCAGAACACACTGCCCTCCACATTCACCCAGTGATGGGCACTTGGGCAGTCTTCAGCTGTTTCTAGTCTGTGCTTTCGTGTATTTCCAGGTGTGTAACCGCTGTGGTATCGCTGGGTCCTAAGAATTCTATTTGTAAGTTCTGGAGGAACTGCAAACCATTCTCTGTGATGATCCTACTACATCTTCTTCTTCTTTTTTTTTATGTTCGCATGCTGTGGTCACGTGTGAGTGGGATGCCCATGCATGTGGGTGGGGGTGCATGTAGAGGATCAAGTTCAATGTTAAAGATCATATTTGATGGCTTTTCCACTTTATTCATTGAGGATCTCCCATGAAGCCCTGATGCTGTTAGTGCTTCTCGGGACTCCCGGGTTCGGCTCCAGGCTCTAGGCTCAAGCAGTCCCACACCCCGCTACTTCTTGGCCCCTGCCCCAGGACTATTTCCAGAACTTCTGGAACCCCTTCCTGGCTCTGGTCTCACCTTGGATGCTCATTCAACATTCTAACCCTGGACACTTCTTGGCCAGCTGTCAGCACTGCTCCGTGCCATGTGTACATGTGTGCATGGCTTCCACACACCCGCTGGTCATCCCAGGTGCAGCTTCGTGCTCAGCCAGATGTAAATCCCTTGACAGTTGCTTCCCAGAGTCCACCATGGTAGGAATTCCCACAAAGCATGCCCAGAGCACAAACCTCTCCCTATCCCTCAAAAGGAAGCTTCTACAGGTCAAATAATGAGAGGAGACACTGACTGCCACCGTCAGAGAGCAGAGCCGGAAGGTCCTGAGGCCCATAATGCCGTGCAGCTGCGACCCTGTCATGTGCAAAAGAGTTCCTCTACGCCCTCTGGCCGCTCCCTTAGCTCTGCTTTGAGCCCTCACTCTTCAACAAAGCAAAACCCGCTTCGCTGCACCTGACTTACATAGATAAGGAAGGGGCTGCTACCTCTCTGGAAGACTCTTTACTGCTCACCTGCAATTGCTGTTTCTCTCGAATGAGCCAGTCCCGCCTGGTGATGGATGCAGGTAGGCCACCTTGGGCAGTGGTCCTAGGCTCTCCTTCATGTGGAGCCTCTGAGTCATCGCTGCCAGACCTTCAAATAACAGATATGCATCGGTACAGATGTTGTGAAATATTAATTTAATACTGTTACATTTGTTTATTCTATGGAATATTTGTTTAATGATGTGAAGATGTGTTTCATTCTTTTATGTTGTATTTGTATAACTCTGTGAAGTTGTGATGCTTTGCCCATCTAAAACACAAGATTGGTCTAATAAAGAGCTGAATGGCCAATAGCTAGGCCGGAGAGGGATAGGCGGAGCTGGCAGGCAGACAGAATAAATAGGAGGAGAAATCTGGGAAGGGAGGATCAAGGAAGGAGAGGAGGACATCAGGGGCTACCCAGCTTCACAGCACGCCATGGAGTAAGAAGCAAAGAAAGGTATACAGAAACGGAGAAAAGGAAAAGCCCAGAGGAAAAGATAGAAGGGATAATTTAAGAAAAGCTAACTAGAAACAAGCCAAGTTAAGGCCGGCCATTTATAAGTAATAATGAAGTCTCCATGGTGGACCCCTGAAAGGCAAGGAGTGAAGACAGAAAAACAACCAGCTACATACAGGTGTGGCAGACAGACAGACATCCTCAGGCCTACATACAGGTGTGGCAGACAGACAGGCATCCTCAGGCCTACATACAGGTGTGGCAGACAGACAAACATCCTCAGGCCTACATACAGGTGTGGCAGACAGACAGACATCCTCAGGCCTACATACAGGTGTGGCAGACAGACAGACATCCTCAGGCCTACATACAGGTGTGGCAGACAGACAAACATCCTCAGGCCTACATACAGGTGTGGCGGACAGACAGACATCCTCAGGCCTACATACAGGTGTGGCAGACAGACAAACATCCTCAGGACTACATACAGGTGTGGTGGACAGACAGACATCCGCAGGACTACATACAGGTGTGGCAGACAGACAGACACCGCAGGCCTACATGTACTTAAAGAGTACGTACATGTAGTACGTAAGAGACTGCATGAAGCTTCCCCAGTCATGGGTCATCCAGGCGCTCATAGGGATGAAGTCCCTAATGTCCATTTCTGCTTCAATACAATCTGCCATGTAGACCAGGATAACTCATACTGTCATGGTTTTCCTTCTGTTGTGTGATAAAACACTCGGACCAAAAAGCAACAGAGAGGAGGAAATAATTTATTTCCACTTCCACCCTTCCACCCACAGTAGTCTGCTTTCTTATAGAACCCAGGACCACCAGCCCTGGGGTGGCCATGCCCACAGTGGGCTGAGCCCTGCCCCAACAATCACTAATGCCCTACTGACTGACTGGTCTGCAGCCCAACCCTATGGAGGTATTTTCTCAGCGAGGCTCCCCCTCTCCAATGGCTCTAACTGTATCAAGGTGACACAACCAGCCAGCACGTCACCTTTCCAAGACACCCCAGGCCGTATACTTCCCAGAAAGTTCAGAAACCTGTTCCCCCTCTATCCACCCCACTCTCCCCCGTGGAGAAGTCCCCTGTGGGGCCTTTCCCAGGACCGCACAGAACGGGAAGAACGCAGTTCACGGAGGTCAAGGTCACAGTGAGAACTTGGGTTTGTGTTTCTCAGTTTGTGTCTTTGAACTAACCCAACCCTCTGAACCTCACCATCCCCCTCATACTGGAATACCTAGAGGAGGCAATAAGATGCCCTGTCCTTGGGACATTTGCTGGAGACCTCCAGCATCCTAACCTGTGCACCAGTAAAGTGACCACTGGACCTGCCTGGTGGACACACTCCTACTGAAGATGGACAGGAATATAAAGATGGCGGTGGCACAACAAGCCTCTTCCCTGTACCACGGTCAGCATCCGACAGCTGTCAAAAGAGGATGCAGGCCCTTTCCTGGGCTCTGGGCTGCTGCATGCCCTCCCAGCTTGACTGTGAGTCTCGGAGGGAGATGTCGCTCCTCTTGTGCTGATGTTCCCGGTGCCTATCATTGAGTCGGGACTCAGCAGATACCTGCTGGGTGGCGTAATGAGCTCATAGCCTTGGAAATGAAGAAGTCATTTCCATCCCGTCTCCTGCTGCATTCACTCATTTCTTCCCCTTACTTATTTCCCAATGTGCTTGGCGGATGCTGATATAGAGTCCCTTCAATTTGTTGAGTCGATGCCATCTGGGTCGAGGTGGGAGCCAGTGTAGGAAGCCAATGCAGAATTGAGAAATCAGCCGCAGAGAGGAGGGAGCTACAGGTGCAGAGCTGGGCACCAACTCTGCGCATGACGGTTAGGCACATCCATTACTAAACCCATAAGACGAGCCCCTGTGCCTAAGCAACACCCCTCTGTCTGTCTCCCACACTCCAACTCCCGGGACGGAGAAGAGATCCATGGAGAGCCAGGAGCGGCCCCAGGACACGTCGCTCAGTTATGAAGCAGGGACGGGTTTCCATCTTCCATGTGTTTCGGTCTCCAGAGTCCCCCTCTGCTACATAACTCTTTTCTTTATATTTGTGAAGTCTCAATATGTGATCCCTCATGGCAGAGCGAATTGGCATTGCTGCTGTAAACTAATCAGGATGTAAAATGAGCAGACCCCTCCAGGGAAGATAAAGACCCACAGCAGCATGGGATGATGGGATGTTGGTGCTTGGTGCTAGTGGGGACCCAGGTGGGGGGTCTCTAAGATCTAAGATATTACTCTCAGCCTCAGGGGTTCAGACCGGTGCCCACTAGGACCAGCCCAGGCATGGGGAAATCTTCCTCTTTCTGTCTGATTTCCTTCCCATCAATCATTGAAGGAATGAACCCCACCTGTAAAGCCTGATCGTGAGCCACAGAGAAAAGCACAGCGGCAAAGTGCACAGGCGACATCTCTGTTCCCTGAGAGCGTCTTGTGAGTTTCCCTTCTGTGCCCTGGGTACTCGTTCCGATCTGAGGGTCACTGGGCCCTGTGATGCTGCAGTCAGCCATGGTACCCACTTGAAATCAAAGGCTCGTATGCTCAAGAGGGAAGACAGGAAAAGCAGGCCCTGCCGGGCGGCCTGCTGCCAGCCTACACTTATGGTTTTGGCCCCGTCTCAGGGGAACAGACAAGCAGCAGCTGTGGCATCTGGACAGAGCCAGAGTCCCATCGTGGTAAGACTGGAAATCCTTCCTGCCCTTCAGTTTTTATCTTTGGTCAAACTGCTCCCATGTGTTTTAAGTTATCCTCTGGGGAAGGGTCTCTGACAAAAGATATTCTATGTGTGATATATACACACACACACACACACACACACACATATGTACATTTAGGAGGCAAGAGTACCAGTGTAGTGAAGAGCCAGTGAGAGTCACATGACATACTATGTCATTAGGGGAAACCAGGTATAAATGAGAAAATCTCCAATCCTTGCCAAACACTCCAGAAAAACGAAAATATTTCCTGGCATGACAAACAGGTGGAATTTCCCCCAGTGTTCCAGAATCAGAAATGAGAGTTGATGAGAATAGTCCAAGGAACACTTCTCCCCGGGTCCATAACTGTGGGGTAGGAGCCTAGGCCGGCCTTAGCACATGCAGAGTCCCCAGGGGCTGCTACCCTCAGCACCTCCTGCCCATCCACTGCCGGGGTGAGACACGAACACATGTCCTTCCACTCACTGGAGCAAAGAGGAAGCTATCCACCCTGCTCCCACAAAAGAGGCCAGGAAGTCCAGGCACCTCAAGATGTACGAGTGGGGTCTGATTCTCCAGGGTGCACAGCTGTCTGGTTTGGGTTCTCCTGACAGCTAGGCCTGAGTCAAGGAGCTGAGGAGGTCGCTTTTAGAGAAACAACCATAAGACACCAGAGAACTGGAGCCTATAAGGGGGAAAGTGAGAAAAAAAAATGGATAATTTCCCTGATCACCACAGGGACAAATGAGACCCCATCCTTACAGGAACCTTCTAGAAGAAGAAAAAAAAATGGCACATTGTTTAAAACTGCCCCTAGAGGCCAGGGCACTGGTGACTGTTGCCCTGGTTACATTCATACCCAGCCATCCAGGAAACAAGAGCATCTCTCCATCACCAGCATCAGCACCATCGTGTACTCCAGTACAAAATGGCCCTTTGTGGTTTTCACTCAGGCTAACAGCAGAGGAACCTAGGTGAAGTGCTAAGACAGCGGTGTGCATGGCATGAACGGGCCCCCAGGGTGGAAACACTATGCCAAAACTGTCCGCCATAGCCGCAACCCCTCCTTCTGGCACGGGGGAACTGAGCAGCGTGGCAGATGGACACGATCCACCATGGGTAGTCTCAGCACCCATTGGCTCACAGCAGAGGTGTGTCAGCTTCCCACCAAGCAGGTATCCGTGACAGACGTGACCCCATCGGGTGCTCCTGGGGTGTTGGGGCCCCATGAGAAAAGTGAGAAGAGGTGGGGCCACATGGGAAAGCAGCTATGGCCGAGGCACAAGAAGGTCAAGCCAGAGTGGGGACCGTGGAGTGGGGACCTTGGGTGTCCCACAGGACAGAGAGCACACTGACACCTGCATACAGAGGACATTGACTTCACTAGCCAGGGAGCAGTTGCGACAGTAGAATAAGGATCCCAGCAGCAGAAAGACAAAACTGTGACTCTAACCTGTGGTTGGCACCTCAGAGTGACAGGGCTATGTGAAAAAAAAAAAAAGCAGAAATGCCCCCAATGTCTCTGCCGTCCACCCGGGATATTGTAACAATGTGGAGAAGTGGATTTGCCAGACTGGGAAAGAACAAAACCAGAGGTGGGCTTATCTCTGAGTTTGAGGCCAGTCTGGTCTACAGAGTGAGTTCCAGGACAGCCAGGGCTACAGAGAGAAACCTTGTCTCAGAAAAAAAGAAAAAAAATCAACTGAACAAACAAAAAAAGCCATCTTGAACTAAGAAGCAGCGTCCTCCTCACCCAGGGACTGGCCCCGTTACTGAGCGACAGAGATTAGCGCCAGGGAGGCGGTGTGAGGAGTGATTGCCACTGAGGGAGCCGTGCAGTGACCTCCAAACCCTAGTGACTGGGGTGCTGGTGTAAGCAGTTCCAAGGGGGGCAAAAAAACACAAGCTTACTTAAGATGTTGAACAGTAACTTTTCAAAGTAACGATAAAAATTAAATAACGCATAGACTCTGGGACTATTTAAATCCCCTTACATATTACTCTAAGCTTTCATAACCCGAGATGCTGAGACAACCCCCTCCTCCCGTAGCCAGAGTGACTGGGAGGGCTTCAAATCTGATGCTTTGACGAGACCGCCCTGGCAGTTTGAGTATGGGAACATATATTGCTTTCATTAGCTTCTCAAAGAAACACTTGACACCAGAAAGGTAAAGAGGTACCTATTTGAGTTGCTAATTCGTGTAGAAAGCTGGCCGTGTTAACAAAACTACTTTATTTCTGCAGGGAAAGTCCCCAGCACTCAGCTCTTTCCCCTGGACTCAGAGCCACGCTCCTGAGAAGTTTGCGTCCAGGTCCCCCTGGTGGTCATTGTGAGGACTGCAGGAACCACTGTCTCTTGGGAAGCCTTCCAGTTCACTTGACGGGGTGAAGACGAACTTCTCAGGCCACTGAGCAGCTGGCACATGTAAAGGCAGACTTTAGTTATTAGCAGCCACGTAGCCATGCCCACGCGCTTTCTAAAAACGTGACAACGAAGCAGAGATCAGGTCCTTTTCTAGCTGTGGTCTGAACAGGACAGGTGAAACAGAGGAAAGAAAAAGTCAAGAATGAAATATAACTAAAGCGAGGAAGACGAGGTCCCTCACGTTCTTACAAGGTGAGCAGGAAGTGTAGAGGTTACAGTCAGCCAGTCAGAGGAGGAAACAGCAGCGCAACACCAGTTACCAGCCTCCAGCCTGGGGCTGGGGCATCTGAAGGAAGACTGACAGAAGGGAAGGTCTTCCTCCAGCTTCCTCCCCTCGCCCCGCCCCCAGCCCAGGTTCACATATATGCTTGTGAATCGGTATAAGCATGCACACATGTACACATATGTAACTCCTGCAAGCATCAATTGGAGAAGTAGATGCGATGCAGTCCTCCTCTGGGGACTGTCACCCTTCAGAACGAGGGGACGGGACTGCCGCCATCCTTCAGGACGAGGGGACGGGACTGCCGCCATCCTTCAGGACGAGGGGACGGGACTGCCGCCATCCTCAGAACGAGGGATATTCAAGGCAGCAGCAGATTGAAGGTTTCAGCCAGAGACACTGTCACTCAGGGTATTCGAGGACGTCTCAGTGAGATGTGTGAGTGACAGGCGGAGGGTTGGGAGGATGGTGGCTTTACTGTTGAGGGATGAGCAACCATTAGTGACTGCAAGGGGCCCGTGGGAGACCACAGACTCGAGCAAGGCTCTACTGTGTGGGAAGCTGGTGCTGACCAATTAGATGTTAGAGGCTTTGGGGGTCACGCTCAGAGCACAGGATCCACGCTGAAAGTCCAGGAGTCATTGATTCCAGCATAAGGGTTCTCCTTATCACTTTGTGGGAGGTGGACGAGGTCCAAGAGTGGACAGAGAAAATCCAGCAAGGCAAGAGGCTGCTGCAATAATCCAGGTAAAAACTGTAGCGAGCAGAGGAAGGATTGGAGATCGAGGCTGGAAAGGCGAGTGAGGATGACGGAGAGATGATAGATTGACCTGCGCTAACACCCCATAGATTAGAGTGTCCTGGAATAGGGGTCTGGGGTCTTTCAGAGGCAACTGAAGGCAGAAGTCACGAGACAAGGATTCTGGGAGAAGGAGGGGAAGGATAATAGATTTAGTGGGGTTCCTCTTTAAAGACAGTGGGTCTGGAAAAGTGACTTGGGGGACGAAGTACCTACATGCATGAGGATCTGAATTCAGACCCTAGAACCCAAAAAAGGCAGGCAGACATGAGGGCCCACCCATGATCCCAGCACTCAGGAGGTGAAGATAAGGGGGTCCCCCAGGCAATTTAGCTAAACTAGCCAGAATCAATGAGATCCAGGTTCAGAAAAAAAAAAAAAACCTCAATAAAATGGAGAGAAATCAAGCAAGACACTGAATGTCAACTTTGAACTTCCATATACACCCACACACATGCAAAAATACATATACACATACACTTCATACACAGGCAAAAAAAACTTTAGAAAGGTGTTTTTGGTAAGGTTTTCCAGAGGAATAGAACAAATGGAAGGTACGTACGATAAGAGAGAAATTAGAAGGGCTTACATGCTAAAAGCTGGCAGATCCAGCCATGGCTGCCTGCGTGCTGCAGAGGCAGAGAACACAGGAGCTGCTCAGTCCACAACACTGGACACCTCAGCAGTATCAAGCCAGAGCCGGAAGCCTGGAAGCTCCCTAGAGAGCTGTTAGCACTGAGTCCACGTCATGGAAAGGCCAAAGAAGCCGGAATCCAGTGTCAGCAGAATCGCAACGGCCCACAAGCACAGAGATGGCGAAGGCAAGGGCACACATGCAGCCCTCTTTCTTCTGATAATGGTGCCAGGTGTCAATCATTGTGGAAAATGCCCCCAAAGCCCCATGAGTGTGGTTCACAGTCCAAGACATCTCTTAATGCAGCCAAGCTGACAGCCAAAACAACCATCATCCATAATAAGCTTACTAAAGGCAAGGATAAAAGCACAGTACCTCTTTAGGATAAGGAGATGAATTTATTAACCGTATTATTGACCACAGGAAGCCCAGGGTCAGCTCTCTACAGAGAGGTAAGTGTAGGGAGGAATCCTCAGAGGACTGGGATGTCTGAGACACCGGAAGTATGCAGGACCCTGCAGAGATGGGGACAGGAGGATACAGGGAGAGAAGCAAGACCTCAGAAACAGCAAGGAGAATGGCCAGTGACCACAGAATGGAGAGAGGACAGTAGAGAAAGGAGTCAAGTGGGACTGTGGTGACATCCACAGGTGCTCACCTTTGGGTGGCTCCATACAAGGCCATCCGGGTCTGTGCTGCCAGGTAGCCCAAGAACCTGCCAAGAGCCGGTTGTTGTGAAGGCAGAACCCAGGGCAGGCGGCCTTTCTCCTCTTCCAGGTCTTCCAGTCTCTGTCTCAGTGTCTCTGCTGGAAACCAAAGAGGTGAAAGAGGGAAACACTGTGAAACTCAGAAAGATAACCCAAGTCTCTCCTCAGCACCAGCCAGCGCCTTCTGAGCCACCCAAGACTGAGAGCTGTTTCCTAGCCTGTTGGTTTCTCCTGTGGAGTCCCAGAGACCTTTCCATCCCTTTATTGCCCCCACTGCCAGGGCCTGCACTTTACCAGCCTCCGCAGTGGTTATGGCTATGGCCCACACGCAGAAGGGCAGCTGATTTTTTTTCTTTTAATCGTGGTGATCCTTTGGGAGAAAACTGCCAAATTTGTAGGATTTGAAAAAAGCAGGTTATTGGTTGGTTGGTTGGTTGGTTGGTTTTTTCAGGAAGGGTCTCATAGAGCACAGGATAACTTGGAACTCTCTATGCAGCTAGGAATGACCGTGAGCTTTCAATCCTGCCTCTATTTCCAAAGTTCTAGAATTACAGGCAAGGGCCACCATATCTGGTTTACATAGTGCTGGGGATTGAAGCTAGGGCTTCAGGCATGCTAAGCAAGTGTCTACCAACTGAGCTACATACCTAGCACGATAGGGTACAGCTTTGAGAAATCAATACCCAAAAGACAATTTATTTTATTTTATTTTATTTCTTTCTTTCTTTTTTTTTTTTTTCTTTTTTTTTTTTTTTTGGTTTTTCGAGACAGGGTTTCTCTGTGGTTTTGGAGCCTGTCCTGGAACTAGCTCTTGTAGACCAGGCTGGTCTCAAACTCACAGAGATCCACCTGCCTCTGCCTCCCGAGTGCTGGGATTAAAGGCGTGTGCCACCACCGCCCGGCTAAAAGGCAATTTTTAATAACATAAATTTTCAATTAAAAAAAATAGCCAGGCAATGGCGGCACACACCTTTAATCCTGGCACTTGTGAGGCAGAGGCAGGTGGATCTCTGAGTTCGAGACCAAGCCTGGTCCACAAAGCAAGTTCCAGGAAAATCTGGGCTACACAGAGAAATACTGTCTCAAAAAAAAAAGTAATAAGTAGTTAATGCTTATCAAGTTGTGGCCAATCACACAACTTGAAGGCACAGAGCAATGTTCACAGTCCCCATGCCAGAGATGACTATACCCATTCTGTCACATAGTAGGTCTTATAGTTGTTCTAAGGACCTCGGATCATTATGAATATGAATCACTGTTTTAAAAACCCACTTAAAATAAGCTGTAGAGGACTGGAGAGATGGCTCAGAGGTTAAGCATACTGGCTGATCTTCCAAGGGTCATGAGTTCTGTTCCCAGCAACCACACGGTGGCTCACAATCATCTATAATGAGACCTGGTGCCCTCTTCTGGCCTGCAGGCAGAACACTACATGAATAAACAAAGAGATCATTTAAAAAATAAGCTGTAGATATTGGAATTCCTTCTAGTTCATAATCAAATCCTATAAATTTATCTTTGAGCCAGGAGTGGTGGCTTACCACACTTAGGAGGCTGAGGCAGGAGGATCCTGAGTTCAAGAGTAGCCCAGGCTATACAGCAAGAAACTCTTGCTAATAAAACTAATAAAATAAATACAGCTGTTTTTGACGAGAAGTAAAGACTGACCTAAACTCACATCCTTGGCTCACCAAGATGGCACAGCAGATAAAGGAGCTTGCCACCAAGCCTGAACACCTGAGTTCAAGTCCCAGAACCCATACGGTGGCAGAAGAGAACCAGCTTCCACAAGTTGTCCTATGATCTCCACAGGCGCCCTGCAGTATGTGTGTAAAATAAATCAGATAATGGTACTGGGTATCGCGGCACACACCTTTAATCCAAGCATTTAGGAGGCGGGTAAGTGGATCTCTATGAGTTTGAAGCCAGCCTGGTCTACATAGAAAGTTCTGGGACAGCCAAAACAATATAGTGAAACCTGTCTCTAAATGAATGAGTGAGCGAATAAATGAATAAATAATGTAAATTGCATCCTTCAGGGCTCACATCCTGGTGTCCTTGCCAGATTGTGCACTGTGACCTTGATCTCAACTGCTGTAGAAAGATGGGATCTCGGGTAGTCAGCACTGTCTGTTTCCCTTTGGTTTGCTTTAGAGTCCTGTGCATGTATCTCTCCCTATGATAGCCTAAGAACACTCTAGAGACTCTTACTAGATTACACAAGATGTTCCCAAGGGCCTTACAGACCATTCCCATGAACTCAGTTCTGCTGTAGTACTTTCTGCAAGCTCTGCCCAGTGAATCGAGCCTTACTTCACAGGTCAAGTTACCACAAGACACAATGTAGCAGATACAGCCCTTAGCCCATATCCATCCTCTGCCCCACACATGCCCTGACGAAGGGAAGGCAGTGATGAGCCAATGTCTGGAGAAAGTCCCCATGGACGAGTGACTTTCCCATAACCCCCTAAATGAGCAGAAACCAATGGCCAGACACTGCAGAGAGTAGAATCAATTACTTGTCTCACTGCTGAGACAAAAAAAATAGGAGAGCAGGGCAAGGAAGATGGGCCTTTTTGGGCTCCCAGAGAGGATACAGTGTTGCGTGATGGGGTCATCACCAAAATAAAAATGATGGCTCTAAGGTGGTGAAGCCCACAACCACAGCATGTCAGTGATGATGGTGGGTGCTCATGGGAGGGCAGGACATGGGTGCAGAGAACACACAGCCTAGGTTTGGGGGGGGGGGGGCATCGGATGCACCTGAGTTACAGGTTATCCCATTCCGTGCCAGGGCTTCACTCCGCCAAACGCCCAAAGTCACAGCTGCAGGCAATTGCTTTCCTAATGGGAGAAGGGAGTTGGGGAAGGAAGGAGGGAGGAGAGTTGCTGGGGTTGGAAGTGAGGTAGGAACTAAATCTGTGAAGTAGTACCTCTTCTCCAGGAACCCGACCTTCTTCCTAAAGGACACATCAGACCTATGTCAAAGTCGACTTCACGCCTTGGAGGCTACAGCTCAGTGACTGGGGACACACATCTTGGTCCTGCAGGGTAATGAGGCCTCATGGCTAGAGATTGCCATCAAGTGATCAGGAAAAGATTTACAATGACATGTGGGTCCAGTCAGGGACACAGAATGAGCGACAAATAGGAGCCCAAACTGTGACTTTCTTGTACATGCAAAGGGATTTTGAAATAAGTCATTTTCACTGAAATAGACAAGTTAGTGCTTGGTCACTTGAGAGTGGCTCATTTGGCAGGGGTTAGGAAGTGTGGCATTGCTACAGGAAGTGTGTCACTGGGGGTGGGCTTTGGGCTTTCAAATGCTTAAGCCAGGCACAGAGTCTCTCGCTTCCTGTTGCCTATGGATCTGCATGTAGAACTCTCAGCTACCTCTCCAGCACCATGTCTGCGTGCACACTGCCAACATGCTTCCCACCATGCTGATAACAGACTAAACCTCTGAAACTGTAAGCCAGCCCATCTAATTCTGCTTTCCTTTGTAAGAGATGCCGTGGCCATAGTGTCTCTTCACAGCAATAGAACACTGACCAAGCCGCCTTGGTTTCTCTTTCTTTTAACTCTCTGTTATTTGAAACATCCTTTAGACATTGTGAATTCATTGGAAGTCAGTTGGTGGCTCCAGGCCAGCATTGGGAGGAATATGTCACACGCACAGGTGCCAGATAAATGCAAGTCATTTAACAGGAATGACATAATAAAAATAAAAGAAATATTGTTTGCGCTTTGGAAATAGAATGAACAAATTCAAGATTAATCAAAAAAGGTGTCAGCAAGCAGTGAGAAAAATACAGGCATTAAAGAATACACTCTGATTGACAAAATCTGTCCCAGGCATATAAAAAGCTTTACACGGAGGATTTCGTGACATAAATGCCTGCCATCACCTCGCTCTACTCTGAAGCAAGAGGATTTTTTTGTGTCCCCACATTGTATTTAGTTAATTTTCTTGTTGGTGTGACAAGATATCTGACCCAAAAAGAATATATTTCAGAGCTCACTGGTTAGGGGGGAGGAACAGCAGTGTGAGCGTGAGGTGGCTGGTCACATGGCAGCCGCAGTCCGGAAGCAGAGAGGCTGAATGCTGATGCTCAGCTCGCTCCCTCCTTTTTAACGAAGCTTAGGCCCTCAGCCCATAGACTGGTGCTGCCCACACTGAAGGCGAGTCTTCCTTCCTCACTTAGACCTTTCTGGAAATGCCCTCATAGAAACATGCAGAAGTGTGACTCCTTGGTGATCATAGATCTTGTTAAACTGACAATAAAGATTAACCATCATGTGCATAAATGTATTAATGTTTAATGAGGGTCACCCGCTACCCTTAGCCCATCAGTAATTAGGCTACTAATTCTAAAGCTACACTGTGGAAACCTAGTGAAAGGAACAAATAAAAGGATGAATATGTAAAGAAGTATGGATGAAGCAGAAACTTTACATAAAGACATCTTGCTAAGTAGATTGGGTTCCTGCTACATGTCTGCCCACGGGATGACAGAATACACGGCACGAGCAATATTCCTAGAGCCTGGTGATCGGTCTCCATCCTATGGAGCCTCTCGGGCTGCAGCCATCAACATCTTTGCGAGTCATTTTTCATTGCTTTTTACATAATAGCCAAGAAATGCAATTTCTTGAGAGCCGCATATTCTAACTCTCATTAGCATACATATCACACAAGGATGGCCAGTTTGCAAGGATTAGACTGTAATAAGACGTATTTCCCACCATCTCAAGCACAATGGAGCCAATCGTTGACATTTCAGAATATTGCAGTTTGTTGGGGTCGTTTTCACAAAGATCAGCCGCCGCTGGGGCACCGGAGATGTCAAATGCATTAAGCGCTTCTGAGCATCTAATGCATGCACAGTGATGTATGTATATTATTTCTGAACTCCACAACTTGCAGGGTAGGATTACAAATGTAGAAAGTGGATTTCAGAACTCTGAATAATTTGCCCAGCATGTCGAAGTGAGTGTATAGCAAAGGTGGAATTGAACCTTGGCCATTTTACAGGTCAGCCCCTAGGCTTTTTTTTTTCCACAACCATCCTTGGAGTCACGCTATCCCTACACCCCAT